GAATGGGTACCACCACAGTAGTAGGAATGGGTACCACCACAGTAGTAGGAATGGGTACCACCACAGTAGTAGGAATGGGTACCACCACAGTAGTAGGAATTGGTACCAGCACAGTAGTAGGAATGGTACCAGCACAGTAGTAGGAATGGTACCAGCACAGTAGTAGGAATGGGTACCACCACAGTAGTAGGAATGGGTACCACCACAGTAGTAGGAATGGGTACCACCACAGTAGTAGGAATTGGTACCAGCACAGTAGTAGGAATGGTACCAGCACAGTAGTAGGAATGGGTACCACCACAGTAGTAGGAATGGTACCAGCACAGTAGTAGGAATGGGTACCACCACAGTAGTAGGAATGGGTACCACCACAGTAGTAGGAATGGGTACCACCACAGTAGTAGGAATTGGTACCACCACAGTAGTAGGAATGGGTACCACCACAGTAGTAGGAATGGGTACCACCACAGTAGTAGGAATGGTACCAGCACAGTAGTAGGAATGGGTACCACCACAGTAGTAGGAATGGTACCAGCACAGTAGTAGGAATTGGTACCAGCACAGTTGAATCGATCGGAAGGTCTCGCGTGGTGGGGTAAAGTGTGGGTGCTCACACCTCTTCCAAAGAAGGTGTGGGCATCTTCTTGGTTCTTTCGGTAAAGTCACGTAGAAGGGAAGTAATAAAATAATAAAAATAAAACATAATAAAATAATTCTCACGTTTCGGCCACAACGCAAGCAGACGCTATCTCCCCGACAGCCCTGGTCTTCACCTGAGGACGGCTGCTTGCATTGTGGCCGAAACGTCGTGAGAATTATTTTATCATGTTTAATTTTTATTATTTTATTACTTCCCTTCTACGTGACTTTACCGAAAGAACCAAGAAGATGAATCCCTGCAGTCACGAAACCTTTAAATCGAAATTTAAGGTGTGAGCAGCGCGAGAAGAGGAGGCCAAGTGGCCACCTCGACCTCCCCTCTCGCGGCGGCCTCGCCACCAAGCGGCGGCGTGAGCGAGCGATTTGCAGGGTTCCCGGCGCCTTCGGCCTCCACCCGAAGCGAGACCGATCGACGATGAGCGAGACACCTTGAAGCCCGCGGAGCCGGTGGAGCGGCTCCACAGAGCGCCCTCGCGGAAGCAAAACAAATAATTGCGTTCACGTGAAGTGGATGGGCGCGCCGTCTGCCACGACTAAATCATTGTCCCTTGCAGAAAGAAACACGATTCCAAGAGCTCCTTAATGCGATTGAATCGCTGTTGATCACCACCGTCGGTCATGATCTATCCACCGCCGGATGAAGGGCTTCCCATCCGAGCCGCCTGCGATGCAGTAATCCAACCGGCAACCTCACCGCACGCGAGTTGGTTTCGTCGCTCCGCCTCCTCCGTGGACGTGGTCTCTCTCTAGGCCGCGTCCCGTCGCCTCTGACTTCCACTCCGTCACGATTCCTGACCGTCGTCGGGCCATCGCCGCTTCTGGCCCGTGCCGCGTCCGGCCCAAGTCAAAACTCCCCCAACAGTCTGAATGATGATGACATGAACCCGCGCATTTTCTCTGAGCCACGTGTTCCTCGCCGATCGGTGTCATTTCTTGGTGCACTTTTCAGTTTTTTTTGCAAACCTGCACGGGTGAAATATCGTCAGAATTTTAATATTGATTTAAACTGGGGGAATCCGATGAGCTATAAAGCTCTTTTTTACAAGAACGTTACAACAACTAGCAATACAAAACAAGAGAGAACAGCAAAGTACAATAAAGGTAAACAGATCACCCAAACACATACACCATACACATCACGCGAAACTATCCCCTGACCGACGTAACTCACCCAAAAGATACGAACATCATCACATAGTCTCTACTTTTTCTAAACCTTTGTTCTCTATTTGTCAACAGTGAGCACACGGAGGCATGCTCCCACTGGGCCAGCTATCGGCTTTGTGCCAATTTGCCTAAAGGCTTGGATCACGAGGCAGCTTGGAGCCAGCCTCTGATGATTTATTTTCCTGGGCAGAATTGGACTGAGAAAGCACGTTGACTGGCACGGGTAACATTAAAGATCTGTTGGCTATGGGACTCAGTGTTGGCTATGAGACCTGGTGTTGGCTATGGTCCTACGTTGGTCTATGGGTCCGGTGTTGGTCTATGGGTCTGGTGTTGGTCTATGGGTCCGATGTTAGACTGTGGGTCTCATGTATTTATTTGGGCTCGTGTTGGATATTCGAAATGCGCAGAACACCCCGTTATGGGCAGACAGAAGGGACAGACGGACAGCGAATGCATGAAGGCATCCAAACTTAATTGAAAGAGAGGAAAAAGAAAACTCGACACATTCGTCAATAACACGGTTCTAATTGATTAAACATTAACAAACAACCTGAAAGCGGGAACCCATTGCCTCCGCACAAATGTGTTCACAAATTTCACCCGGCGATACGATTCGCTTGGGGTTAACGACGGAAGACAGACGGAGAGCCTCTCCTCTCTGTTGACATCGGGGACCATCCGTCGTCGATCCGAGGGGACAGAGGCGGTCCACACGGGGCCGCCTACAACCCGACAGCCCACGACTCTCTACGCGTCACCGTGCCCACAGCGAGAGGGCAGTTTTCCCCCCCCCCCCCCCCCCCGTTCTCTCTCAGTCTAAAACACAGGAATCTCATTCCATCTCCGCTTCCGTCGCTTGCGCGTACGTACGGTCGACTTTCGATCATGCGCGCTAATGACGGGGAGGACCGACGCGGATAATTGAAAATAGCGGATAATGAAAAAATATGAATTTTCCGCGGGTCTCTATGCCAAAAACCAGGAATATAGGTGTTAATTAAAGCTCACGAAATAAATGATCGTATAAATCACTCAAAATGAAGCACAACTGAAGATGTTGACAGTTACTCTTTCAATTTGGAACGGATACTAACGATCACAGGGATAGATGAGCGTGCTCAGTGATAGTAACGCTTCCCTGCTCCCGATCAGAAGACTCGGCCCGCTCAGGGGATAGCAAAGCCATGCCAATCAACATCAAACTCCGCCCACTGTTGTAAATATGTGCAACTACTGTACTGTAGAGGCGATCGCGTGGATTTCTGATTAACCGGAGCAACACATTTGTTCGGGTGGGGTGGGGGGAGCACCCCCATTCCTGCACGTACAGCAGGGATGGGGGGGGGGGCATGGCAGCCCCCCACAAAGGGGGACGCGTGGCCTCGCCTTTGGCCTCTCGCGGGGATGGTGGGAACGGGGGGGGGGGGGGGCAGCCTCGTGTCGACAACCCGAACCTACCGACTCCAGGCCATGGCACGACTTCAGTGAAATCGTCCGGAGCTTCGCGCTTGAACCGTTCCAACGTTGATTGTGGAGCGCGAGACCAAGCTTGTGCCTTTTCAGTGTGATTTTTTGTTATTGAACTTTCACATATTTTGTGTGCCCTCGTTTTATTTATTTAAAATGTTCTTGCCTTGGGAGGGCGGCCTGAGACCTCGTGGAGGGAGAATCCCTCAAGGTCCTCGCCGCAACTCCCCACGATTCATCGTGCCGGAAACTCTTAATAATTGTACTTTGTAAAAAAATGTAAATTAATTTAGTATATGAACCTTATGGATACTATAGTTCCCCGGCTCTCGCACAATGTCCGTGATGCAGTCACTGTGAGTCTCTGTGGATGGTGGCGATGCGGCAATCGACTCATCTCGCGACGAGCTGTGCACGATCAGCACGATTCAAAGTTGAATTTTTCGAGAACGGATTTTGTTCTGCTGATGTTTGGCGTTTCGACATCGCGGAGTAGCACCGATTTGGGATTGGTTGGTACCCCAGTCGCGGAGTGAAGTACACCCCTGGAAAAAATAGTGTCCCAGAAATAAAATGTTGAATTGCCTCGGCCATTGCGTATTGTTACCCCGGGGTAGCGCCATAACGATCATATAATTAAAGATGTTTTAAATGAAGGATTTGTCTGTTACGCAACTCCCCACAATGCAATGAGCCGACAATAATATAACTGTACTTTTAATGTAAATTAGTTAAATTAGTATATACAAAAAGTTTTGTATGTTACGCAACAGCTAACTATTTTTGTGCCTGTTAAAAAAAAACTAATCATGAAATGTTATTTTTTATGACGTCTCACGGTGATTGTTGCCATCTCCAAACCACGCGGTCTCGTTCAACCCCCGCGAGTGCCATTGTATTTTGCTCGCCGCACTTGAGAGGCGCGCCACCCCATGGCTGGGAGCGCACATTCACTTCACCTGTGCACATCGCTCTCGGGGCCGCCCGCCCACAAACTCCGCAGCCGCGTGCGGCTCTTCGTGACGTCGCTCACCAAGGGGCGCCGTTCCGGTGTTCACCGCTGCAGTTTCACTGCGGCTCCTAATAAACAATTATAATTAAGAGTTTTGTTACCCAATTCGAAATAATAGAAATGTCCCTCCTCGTTATTTCGGTTTGCCGACCGCCCTGGAGACATGACAGGGAGACAGCCTCTCCCTGGGCAGGACGACTCGCGCGGTGGGACCGACTTGCACGTCCATGCCCCCGTCTTCAACCAAGCCACGCCGCCCATCGTGTGCGGTCACAGAGACCACGCAAACCGGTTGGCGTGTACCCGTTAAACAAGACGCATTGTTTCATCGTATCTCACCAAACCCTCAAGAGCGATCACCCATTTAGAACACATTCCTGCAGAGGGAGCTGGTAAGAACGTTGGGTTGCTCGGTCAATGGCCAGGGTCAACGGCGGCGTGGTGTATTCCGCAAATATGCCCGACTGTGAGGGCGGGCACAAGCCGGCGTGAGTTAAACGTTGAGTTTTATAAGGGCACCACGGGGTGACCAGCCCCTCCCCACCCAGCCCCTCCCCACCCTCCCCTCTGAACCCAGCCCCACCCCTCCCATTTTTGAATGCACGACGGACAGAATAATCCCCTGTGGGCTGGTGTAACCAGGAGGCTCCTACCCGTATGAGAGAGACTGAGAACGTCAGCTTGAGTGGGTATATTTATTCACATGGGGAAAGTGACCGTACAACCTTCCATACATAACCACACGGACTTAAACCACATCACCTGCGTAAACAACGTGGTTTCCATTGCATTGCTATATTGCGCAATGCTTTTCCCCAATCGTATTTTTCAGTGTAGCAAGGGACAAAGCTGTAACACACACACACACGTTATAATTGTTGCTATTTGTATTGCAGTAGTTTGACATTTCAAACATTCAATGCAATTTAAGCTCAGTTTTGATGCACATTAATTATATTGTCTCGATAGCGGTGTAACCAAGTTTGCTCTATCTCTTCAAGTTTCGCAACACTAAACATACGATATTGTCCAACGTATTAGACACACCACTTCCCCCCCCCCCTTCTATTTGAAAGCAACACCTGCGTGCGTGTCTTGCAATCCAGAGATGACGTTCTCCATTCTCTGTGGTTCTTTCGGTAAAGTCACGTAGGTAGAAAAATAAAATTAATAAATCACTTATTTTATTTTTTTACCTACGTGACTTTACCGAAAGAACCAAAGAGTGTGGATTCCTGCAGTCACGAAAGCTTCAAATCAAGATCACGTTCTCCTTTAAGATGTCGTGTTTTAATCCAGTTGTTCAGAATCATCTACTGGAAGACCGTTCGTTCTCCGTAGCCGTACGTGAGCAGAAGACCAACCAAGCCATCTTGCTGCCTCTCAAGAACCACCTTCCAGAAGACAACTATAATCATCTTCTGGAAGACGTTGGTGGTGGTGGCTCTTCGCCAGCAATACCGAATTCTCCAAGATGGTAAAACACGTGGGTTTTTTTGTTTGCAAAATGTCCCCAAAGTTCCAGAGCGTCTCACAGTCTGGAGTACGCGGTTTACTTGTTCCGCATTTGGGGGGGGGGGGGGGCACGCAAAATTAGTTTCCGCGCCGCGTCCTGCCAACATTACGAATTCAATGGCAGTGCTCACAGTCAACCCCGAATATCAATGCGAGACATCGTGGGGGGGGGGGGGGGGGTCGCGGCAGCGTCACGACCGACCGCTTCTGATCACACGGATAAAATTCTCCCAATCGCTACAGTATTCAAATTGTTCCATCGGCATCGACGCTGTCGCGACACGCACTAAAATTCTATTCGTATGCCAGAATTGCCATAATAGCGCGATGGAGGGGGGGGGGGTCACAGATGCTGCAGGGGTCACAAAACCGCTTCTGGGGGTCACCACAGAACCGCTTCTGGGGGTGACGCGCCAAGCTCTCGTGTTCAGCGATCCGCAACCAGGCCCGTGGCAAATTACCACCCTGGCCGCATGACTCCCCCCGCAAGCTGGAATTCGCAGACTCGAAAATCCGAACATTTTTTTACGGCAAATTGTTTCGTTTTGTGCGCGCGCGGTGCTACATTGTGGGACGCAGAGGGAAATGCCGCAAGAGCCACTGCTGCATCGTACTATGCTCCCACAAATACGCTCCACACCACCCAACTGCACGGACCAGCGTGGTGGAAGTAAAGTAATGACCGGCACGGCGAGGCCCTCGCACAAACCGCGGATTTACGTAAGGGCTGTGCGTGTAAATTTATTTGTGCAATCATTGGTGACCAGCAGGGATCATTCATCACAGGCAGCTGAAACACCAGAATTCAAACCCAAGTTCTCAGCTCAGTGTCTACGACCGAGGGTTTAACCCCATCTGAGCTGCCTGGCCACCTCGAGTTGATCTCAAGTACCCACATGTTCAAAGCTGGGCACTTGACATGCAATCAAAATCTGTATATGGCAGTTGCCGTCAAGGCCTCAATTCTCAATGTTTTTTTTCTAACTGGCTTATGAAGATTTAGAACCGACTTAGGAGATTTATAACGAACTTATAATAACTGAAACGTTTGACATAACAACAATATTGCCCGAGTGATGCTAATGTGTACAGCTGCTGATGATGATTCAGTTGATGATGTGTTGACTTTAGATAACAATTATGGCGAATGATATATTTAACGATGTTGGCATGTCAAATATAGTTTTGACTTGTAGATATATAATTGATGTTAATTGGTACATTTGTTTATGATTATGTCTAAGTAAGGGTGATAAGACCACTACTTCGCATATATAAATATTAACTTAAAATAAGTTTAAATAACTAACCTACAATAACAGGAACGAAATGACATTAAGCGGCAGTACGCACAACAGTAAATCATAAAAATAGAACTCTTTTCTGAATAATATTCAATGTGCATGTCTAATTGTTTCTATATAACACACGCATTTAGTATTCACAATTTAGCAATCCCTCAATTTCAAGTAAAACAGGAAAACGCAATAATGTATTAAATACACAAGCCAGTAAAATAAATCGCTTAACTACCCGCCAGTGTCCCATTACCATGAACATATGGCCATATGAACTTGTCCTATTCCTGGATTATATTCCAACTTTGCTAACTGAAATTAAGTAATTTGGCAGATAGATATCCATTCAGTATTGTTGCTGAAGGCAGTGTTGTTAGAGTACAGCCTCTGGAAGGTGACAACACAGAACTACTACTGAGGTCCCTACTGATTACAAACGTTCATGGCATACAATCAAAGCAAAATGTTTAATTGCCAGGGTTGAAATTTGCCCGAGTGCAAAGCACATTTGACATTTTTTTTGTGTTTGTGCAGTAAGTCATTGGTAACCTGGCTGAGACCATGAATTCACTACAAATTGAAAAGCTGGTTTAATTAACGATGACTGAAACCTGGACTCGAACACAGTTTTTCTGCAGCGTTGCCTACTCAATTATCTAACACACGAGCTAAATGGTCACCTAATATCATATCCACTTCGCATTGCGATTATACAGCTGTACTTGGTTAGCTTATACGATTTGCTATTTCTAACTTAACATCTATTGCGTAATAATAATTTAGCAGTACATTTAAAGCATTTTATTTCATTCAGGTACGATGCTATATCTGTATAATAATCCATACACACACTGCGCAGTCATACATTTCCTACTGCCACGGACACAATGTTTCACTTCTGTGGCTATATTTCGCACGTAAATTATGTTGTATAAATGAATTCAGCGAGTTGTGTGATAACAACGCTTACGTATTTATCCAAGTTTACATTATCGACTGCGACGCGGTGTCACGGTCAGCAGCGCAGCAGCAGCAGCAGCAAGGCGCTGGACTTACGATCCAGAGGTCGCCAGTTCGATTCCATCTCCCGGCGTGGCGGGTGAAACAACGGTGTGAGTTTCTTAAATGCCCCCCCTCCACCCCTCTCCACCACGCTCTGCCCAACCAGCGGTGCCAATCGGGTGTACGGCGCGGCTCGTCGATTGCCAGGTCGCGCGTGCTGGGGTAATGCGTGGGTACTCCCAACCATTTACAAGACATCTGGCCAGCGTGCAAAAGAAAGAATAGGCCAAGTCTGCTCCAGAGGGCCTCTCTAGAGCTTCTTCCAGTGGAGGTCCTTTTCGCTAGCAGTGGTGTGAGCAAGCTGTTGCGGGGCTGCGCTCTTACCTTTATAATACCGAGTACAGAGAACCAATTGGCGTGTCCTCGGAGTGCAGCATTCCTTGCTGATTTGAGCAATTTTCAGTTTACGTGAAACATTTTTGTTAACAACCGTGTTACTGAACCACACGTCAAAAGCGGGTAGCAGACACGGATTCCGATCATGGTAATAATTTTACCAATCCACAATGACCATCGTGGTGAAGTATGGTTATATAACTTCTTACGACCCACATGGCGTGACGAGGCCCTCATCCAGCAGCGGATTGGGAAAAGGGCTTCCATTCGTACGTATGTACTAATTATTTGCCTGTATTGAGAATATCCTTGGTATTAGGGGGCGATATTCGGGATTAATTTCAGCCGGGTCTGTATGGGTTGGAGACCCACGTAATATTTCCACACCCGGCGCTTCACATCCAGCGTAACCCGCGCCATGGCGGCTGTCAGTCACGTGCCTTCTTCAGTCGAACAGCTACCTGGAGAATATCCACCGTTGCCTCAGGCAACACAAATGCATCGCCTATACACCAAGTAACGCAACATCCGACATCGGAATGATTTTCCCTATTAAATAAAGCATTGGGATATTGGGAAAAAACACCAAAGCATCATCCAGGTTGATCACCGCCTAGTGAATATAACACACGGCCGTCTCAGACACCCACACACTCACACACGTGCTTAAAAGCGCATGCCATCGCAACAGTGATGCCATCGCAACAGTGACTCATTCGCATGCGAGTAGTGACCCCTAAATCCAATTGACACAAATTACTTGGCAGTAACCCCCCCCCCTTAACTTGTCATAATTTACAGGCGATATTTACTAGATGGCTCTTCGAGTAACTCATACGGTGGCTAAACGGTAACTCCCACGCACGGGCAGTGCCCTTAAGATTGACAGCCCAGGGTGGTGTTGCTATCGGAGTGTGTGCAAGGCGCTGCACCCGCACCGGTGCCCACAGGCGGTGAGGGACACAACGGCGCACGAGAGGCGGACGATACAAACGATGTAGAAATTACAACATTGGGAGTACAAAGCGAGCAGCGCAATCGAAACGGTACCATTGACACCAAAAACAAGAACAAAAAATACGCACATCAATGGAACGGCACAATCGAGACAAATGGTACACGATATACGGAAGGAACAAATGATGATATAGGTAACACGTAGAGATATAAGGAAAACACATAAGACAGACTACAGGCCAGGGATTAACTTTAGCCGGGGTCTGTATGTGCCGGCGATATTTTCCACGCCCGTCACACCACAAGCGGACTATAGCTCTCGCAATGGCCGTGACCACTACTTTTGTCAAGTGCCACCTACTCCAGCCTCACCAGCGATGTGGGAAACACTCAGGTGAGAAATGAAGACCCTGATACGGGCGGTATCGACGATCCGGTACGAGACGAGAGATTCTTAAATTGACCTGCGACAATTCACGGAGAATCTCGTGGAAAAGTGCAGGTGGTGAACTGGTCGCATGCCTATGTAGTCGGTCCTACACAGCAACGTTTTTCAACTACACTTTCTGATGGGCTCTGGAACAGAATTCGGCGTGTGCGAGCGATTCATGCGAAGTCACGTGACACAAGTCTGGGGCGTCGCGACGTCGCAACACGTCCGTACACACGACGCCCACTAAATCTGCATCTCTCATCTGCAGCTCTCTCACGGCTCTACCTTGTTCACCTCCGTTTATTTCTGTATCTCTCGTCGACATCTCAGACATCACTCATCTCTTGATGTCTCCGTGAGCCGGACCTCTCAGCGGGGGCTGTGAGAAACTTGGCGGGCCACATGAGGCCCACGGAGACTCTTGCCGTGGCCCTCCGGGTTCAAAACGCTGCTCTGCAATACCCACGGGTAGGAGAGGCATTCACTTCCCCATCACCCGTACTGAATATTCCCCACAGTGGCTCATTGCAGATCCGCTCACTCTTATCGATTCCAAAGCAGCTATGAAGCAGTCAAGATCGCATCACCACCACCACCACTCGTCAATTTATAGGTCAATTAAAACAGCGGTGGAATTGATGCCCCCGTCTGACGTAGGCCGACGCTGTTGCTCACACTGTAATTCGAGCGCTGCGTTAAAGAACATTTGACGGCTATTTAAAAACAAACTCTGAATTTCCATGCTTGTAGAAATAGTTTGCTTAAAGCATGGGTAAAACAACAAGAGCATTATATTTATTACAGATTTGATGGCAATTATTTCTCTACTGGTGGCGAGAAGCTTACAGCCAGCCTCAGATGCAAGATGTCAGAAGCAGCGTCAATGTGTTCAGCCATATTACTCTAGGACTCCGTTCCATAAATAGGAACTCTCCAGCCTGAGTCACCAATGATGGTGCTGTCGGTTATCATGGGTGCAGGGTGGAGCAGGTCAGATCGCTGAGACAGGCACTGGAGTGGCAGCACTCAAGAGCTTGGTGACCATGGGGAAGAGAAGATTGAAAGAGCCAGATGGTGATAGGGGCGATGAGGCTGTAAGAGCGGTCCCGGGTAACACCGGGACAGGTGGCGGCCTATCCTCCGCGCGCCCTACGGGACCTAAAGCTCGAGCAAGGATCCGTTTCCCACGCTGGGAATACTCGGACAGATGTCGGAGGAGGACACAGCGGACACGATCACAGACGCGGGGACGACGTTGCTGTTGGACATGTCGTCCGCGCGGTGTGCGGCCGGCGGGCCGAAGTCGGCGGCGAGGGACGCGGGCGGGGGGCGGCGGCGGCGTCCCAGCGGGCTCCCGCCGCCGTCGTCGCCGCCGTCGCCCGCGTCGTCCTGGTCCTCGGCGCCGTCGCCGTCCCCGCGGGAGGAGAGGAGGTCGTCTTCGTCGCACCCCGGGACGCCCGTCAGTGCCGGGCCGGGCTCGTAGAGGGGGGAGAAGTCGGGCCCCGACAAGCCGTCATCCTTAGAGACAGGGCTGGCAGACAGCGCACACATCGGTTGGCGTTTGAGGCCCAAGAGAAAAGGACGCCCAGTTGGCCTCTGGCCACGTCGGTGGCACTGAAGCTTTGCTGCTGCCTGCTGCTGCCTGCTGCACGTATTTGAGTCGACACGTTTGTTACCTGAACTCAACAGGGAAGGTTAACCGAATGTAGGCCCCCCCGTCAATTCCTCTATGCCCCATCCCCTTACTCATGCCCCACCCCTTCCTGTTTAGACCCCACCTCTTCACATTTAGGCTCCTCCCCTTCCTAACTCGGCCCCTTACGGATTAAAGCCCCCGACTCCTTCTTAGACCATTTTTTTTTGCTTCAGGTTTCGCGTCTTTCCTTTTTAGAACCTGCCCACTTCTTTTTCTGTTTAGGCATCGCCCCTTCCTCTGGCCACAGGCCTGAGCTGGGCTGCATAGTCGTTGGGGGGGAGGGGGGGTGAGGACAGTCGGGGTCCGACAGCTTCACAACGATGAAGACGACTCAAATCCCAAATGTAAACACCTATTTTAACGAAGGTGAAAACTACGTCAAACCAAACATTTCTCGGTGCTTACCTAGGAGGTGTGTGTGGTGATGTCAGGCAGAAGAGTACATCTACAACCCTTCTGTAATCCACTGTTGGATGAGGGCCTACCAACACCGTGCAGGTTCCTTGAGGTGTTGGTTATTTAACCGTACTTCATGCCAGTCAGTGTCGGTTGAAGGCAAGGAGCATAGGCGTGGTGGCATAGAGTACAGTACAACATTGGCGTTCTACTGCACTGCCTTCCGCTGTTGGCCACAACCGAGGCCCTCGCAGCGGCCTATAACAACCTGCCGTGCATGCTGCTCGCCCATCCAAGCACTATCCAGGCTCAACCCCGCTTCACCTACGCAATCTATGGAGATCAGGTGCATTCTGGATGATTATAAAGCTATCCACACACATATTTGACTGTACATCGGCACAGTGGTCAGTGTGGGTTGGTGACGGTGGAGAGTGTAGGAGCACAGAAGTACAGCACAACAGTGGATTTCTCTGCACGGCTCTGCTGCCCACCAACACAGCCCTACAGCCAACGAGACCTGTTATGCAATGTGGCCGTCCCACCCGAGGAAATGAAGAGGCTAAACCCTGCTCAGCTTCCAAGATCCGAGCACAGCTCCTCAAGTGACATCACTGCACTGAATTTGTTTCGAAACTGGTGGAAGTAACGTTCCGGAGACGTCGCTATACTCGGCGATCGAAATGGGTCAAAGTGCTGGTGATAAAACCTACTCGGCATGCAGTCCACATCCACTGCCTTGGCCCCTCTGCGGGAACATCGTGGCATCGGAATAGCAACTGCTGTGCAAACTGAGGCCACTTGTGTTTGGTGTCGTAAGTTCCGACATGGCGTACTGCCGTATACCGGCACATTTACACCACTGGCCATGATGCCATGATGATAGCTATGACATTGAATGATAATTGTAGTGTCAGTTAAAATTACAGTTGTAGTTATGAAGACGAAATATTGTGATGTCGATGATGGTGCCGATAATAACGGTGGCCACACGATGGCGTCGATGGTGGCGGCGTTCACGGCGATAACGGACGTGGCGTTCACTACGACGTTAATGACGTCGAAGACGACGACGACAATGGTGACGGTCGAAACCTTCGTCTCTTTACCTTACGTCCATCGACTGCACCTCGTCGAAAGCCTCCGCGACCGCTGAGAGGATGTGCCCAGGAACCTTCCCCGGCGCGTTCCCCTCTTTCTCCGCCAGACTCCCGTCGTCCGCTGCCAGCGCCGACCCCAGGGCGTCGTCCCCTCCTCCACTCTCACACCCGTCGGGGCTTCCGCCCAACAGGGCCTCCTCCTCCTCCTCTTTGTCCTCCTCAGCTGCGAAATCCGCCAGATACACCTTTGGTCAGCTCGTTCAACGTTGGCCACCTTTAGGCTGACGTTGCTGACGGGGGGGGGGGGGGGGGGGGGGGGGGGGGGGGGGGGGGAGTCCCCCGTAGAGTAGAAGTCGTCCTCGTATGGGGCTTCTGTAGGCACGCGGCGGCGGTGAACGTTGCACGTGCTGTGTGTATGTTCAACTTCTTTCGCACCATACATAGCCAACCGTGCTAATCGGAGGTGCGATTGGCGACGGCGCTGGGCTCAGGGGCCCGGATAAAGACAAGTCTGGTGTCAAGTCGTGTGTCTGGTTCATTGCTGGCTGGTGGGATGGCCAAATATTTATAAACTCTTTGAGTTGCTGGTCGAAAAAACGACAAATTGGCCACACACACAGTGCTTCTGAGCTTGTGGTCTGAACAAGGCAGAGAGCTTCTGTACATGCAATGCACCACGCCTATGTGCATTGCATGTTGTTTAAGGGAACTGTGTTTAAACTATGCGCATTAGGGTGCCAGTCAAATTTCAAGTTTGTTATTTTTAAGGTCACAGTATCGAGGCACAGAAGCAGTGAAGAATAGGAGGGGATCCTAAGTGAATAGGTGAGTGAATAGTTGAGTGTGTAGGCGAGTGAGTAGCTTTGTGCCACTCAATACACAGAGTCACAGAGTATAGAGGCACAGACGCAGAAGAGGGGATCTGGAGCACCTTGTAGTCGACACGAACCCGAGGAGAATGAGAGTCTCACTTTTACACTCAAGGGTAACAGAGAGGAGGATGCAATCCAAGAAAATTTAAAATTAACTTTCTATATGCATCGTGAGTAGCACCCTATTGCGCATATAACGTTGCGTCTGTCTGTTCCATTCCCAAGAGGGCACTTGACACGCTATGTTAATTTTCTCCCTTTAGTATCCAGCATTTTGTAATACGCGACTAATTTTAGGCGTTGCGTCGTCACGAGAAGCAGAAGAATCCATCCATTGGGATCTCTCCCAGAGCAGCGCAGCCCCTCCCCCGTGCTAGAGAGTGGCCCGCAGAAGTGGAAGTCCCAGAGCTACCTCTGAGATCTTCTTTATTAAAGTGACATTCTGGTCCACACACAGGAAGCGGGGGAAGCACTTGGCCACTCCGCTCGCGCACGTGAGAAAACTGTGCGTCAGTATCACACATTAAGCGCAGAAAGGGATTTAATGTGGTTGGGTTTTTTTTCGTGCAGTCGCTGGTGAGTGATATTTTAATGTTTTCAAGTGAACTGATCGGGCCCACTCATTTCTATGTCTGTCCATCCAAGGGCCACTTCACATGTTTTTTTTGTATGAAAACCACAAAACCTCTACACCAATCGCTAGTACCAACACCAGGTTTATATAAGTTGGCTTAGGAGATATGTTAGTCAGCTTGTTATATTTTATGTATATATTGTAGAATATATATATTTAGTGATAATACAGTCAGGTTATATGACAAAAATGTAACAAAGTGCTGTATACCTAAATATGTTTAATACAATGATCATGATGATGACGAAGTTAATAACAATGTTGTTGATAATGACAATGACATAGATGACGTGATGGTGGTGGAAATGCTAGCTCCAACGACGACGATGCCGCTATTATCGGTGCTACCGATGATGATGATGATGGCAGTGATGATGGTAGTGCTGTTTCTAATGATGATGCTGCTGCTGCTACAGATGACAGTCCTAGTATCTGTTAAGGGCATACTGACGTGCGAAAGTGGTTCTGTGGGCATTGTGTTGGGCACGTGTGTGTAGGTATGCAGTGTAGGCATTGTTATCCGTGTATGTTTAACCTTCTGTTTGTTCACTACCATCCTCCGAAATAAAATCCAGGCCCTTGTTCTGTGATTCTTCAACGGCAACGATGGGTTCCAGCACAGACTGCAACGAGAGGAAGCATAACTATCCATGATAATTGATAAGACTGCAAGAATCAGAACTCACCAATTCACTCCAAACAACAACAACCACCATTCGCCACTAAGTGGCGGTGACGTCACCACGGCACTTGTGCCAGGCTATGTGTACCTTGAGGCCACGTGAAGTGTCAAAAGCTCGTTGGTAGGAGGTCACGGGACAGACCCAGGTGCCATGGGTTGACTGACTGAAGATGACTGGCAGATGCACCAACTATGCCCCCTACTGTGCTTTGTTTTAGCTGCCTGGCGCTCTGCTCATTGCTGTGAGCGTCTTTTCTCTGACCTCCATTGTTGCTGGAGGGCGACTGCCTCTAACTGCTCAGTAGTAGCGTCCATCACGAGCCTCCTCCAGAGGCCGATCTTGACACCGCTTGTACCACTCATTGGCAAGTCCACTCAGCTCCATATCCTCTTGTGCCATGTCATTCCATTTACTCCAGTCACTCGCTCAGCCACCTCCTGCTCACCCTTGTAATGCGACTACGTCAGTAGATGAGTGTAGAAAGCAATGCTGAAGAGAGAGTCTTACCTTCCCCACGTCCGCTTTGTACGGCTTGCGGGTCCTGCTCATGATTTGTTCCAAGCGCTGAAAACAGGAAACACAAGAAAACAGCCTTCGTACTCGGAGTACCCTGAGCCACATCTGGGAGAACCCAGTTCCTATCTTGTCTACAACGCCACAGCAGCAGGAATAAAAAACAACACAGCGGTGAGACTCAGTTGCAACCCCATCCAGTGTGGTTTGCTGTTTAAACAAACGCAGTTAAACGTAAACTTGTTTTGTTTGTTTGTTGCCCAGAAGCCGCTCAAGCTCACAATCTCATCAAGCTCTTAGACGCCAAGCCGAGCCTGCTTATACTGCTTGCATGGGATGACAAACCATGCATAAAGCAGGTGTCATCGGCTGCTGCGGGGTTAACTGGTAATCAGAGGGAAAAGCAGCAAACTCCACCGTTATATTGCACCGTGCTCCAATGCCCACGTTCCCCGCGTTCATCAAACGCGCACTGACCATCGTGGTCAAGGATGGTCGCACGGCTACCGTGGCCCGCAACGGCGCGGGAGGGGCCCTCATCTAGCGGTGCATTGGCACAACGGCCGCGCGTCTCCACCGGTGGCAACAGCTAACGAGCGAGAGTGCGCAGGCGGTGCAACTGCACCGGGGAAGCCGCACGCGCGCACCTTCTTCCTCTCCTGTCGCTCCTGCTCCTCCCGCTGGAAAACCTTCTCGCGCTCCTGACGCTGCCGCTCCGCCTCCTCCAGAGCCCGCGCCTCAGCCTCCTCTCTCTGCCACCGGCGGGGGGCAGACGGTGGAGGGGTGCGGAGAGAAGGAAACGCGTTCGCGGCGTCGGCCACATCACCCCCCTTCGTGCGCCGTGGTGGCACGAGCACACGAACGAACGGATGAACGGACGAAACGAGCTTGCAGGTTTACCGCGCGCTCTCCCGTCACGGAACGAAGCGCCTCCGGAGTGCAGATCACCCCCCTAACGGCAGCCGTCCCCGAGCGGCACACGGTCGCTCGGCACCTGCCACGGCGAAGGGTCATCGGTCTGCCAGTAGGGGGGCAAAGGGCAGCTCGCGAGGCAGCACTCGGCGGCTGCTGCCGCCGCCGCCTTTCCCCGCTCGTCCGCTGGTTACTCGCCGCGCTGCCGAGTCGTCCTCTCTCTTCGAGAGCGAGGAGCGAACACCGCGTGGCGGTGGCGGCGGCGCGTTACGAGTCGATGTTATTGTAACTTCTTACGTATTTATTGTGTTTTTATTGTAACTCCACTTGAGCACGCAACAAGGCACCAATCACGGAACAAGAACAAAAATCCCACGCTCAAGAGCCCGAGATCGGTGTGAGAGGGCTCAGCGAAGGGGGTTAAGTTGGGCTCAATGCCACGCCCAGGTGGGGAGGTTCATACCTGTCAACCCATATGGTTCACCCGTATTCTTGCGCAGGAAAATGTAGTTTTCAGGTCCGTATGGCGTACAGACGTTTCAATACGGGCAAAAATATAATTTATTTGTGTTTCTGATGAACGTTGAGATTTATAAGGGCACGGGGTGACCAATGAGGTCTGAATTAGTCTGTAATAAGGTAGGCACTGATAAGGGGTTGTCAGGCACGATATAGAGGCGGGGCGGGGGGGGGAGTAAGGCGAAGGACATCTAACATAACAGGGGAAAAGAGACGATCGTGATGATGATTATTATCACAAGCGTCGCCGCCGGTGACGTCGGCGTCGTCGCCGGTGCCGCGCCGCACCTGCCGCTGCAGGTCGACGAGCTTGTTGTGCTCGTCGCGCTCGTGCTGCAGCCGCTCCACCACGGCGCGGGCCTCCCTCTCGGCCGCGTCCCTCGCCCGCTGCTCCTCCGCGCGGCGCGCCTCCTCCTGCCGCCGCAGCCGCTCCTCCGCCTTCCGGCGAGCCAGCTCCTCTCTCATGAGCCTGCGACGGTGATCGATCAATCAATTAGTCAATCAATAAGTCAATCGACTACTCGTACACCTTCTGGTGAGCCATCTCCCAGCGATGGTGATGGCGGTGAATCGATCAATCAGTCAATCAATCGATCAGTCGCTCCTCGCCCATGTGTGCGTGTGGAAAGCAACGATGGCGCAGTGGTTAGCGCACTGCGTTACGAACCCGCTCATAACCAACATCTGTGACCAATATCTGAACCGGTCGACTCAGCGTGAAATGAGTACCTGGTGCAAGTGCTAGAACATCAGCACTGCGGAGACAAAGCTGGCCTGGCGTGGTGCTGGCCACCCACCCCGTCGTGTGCCGTGTTGCCCTTAATAGGGGCTCGCTAACAGCACTTGCCCCGCCAGTCTGATAAGGCTACACGGGGGATCTCGGTATTTTTGTCTCCGTGACAGCGAAGTATTCTTACCGCTCGTTCTCCTCTCTGACGCGACGCTCCACCTCCTCCCTCTCGCGCTGCTCCCGAGCCTGGCGTCTCTTCTCTCCCAGCAGCCTCGTGGCTTCCTCTGCATTACTGGTGCCAGCGCGGCTATCACCTACGTGTACACACACACACCACACCACACACACACGCACACCACACCACACACACACCACACACCACACACACGCACACCACACACACACCACACACCACACACACCACACACACACCACACAAACACAATGCACACGCGGTGAGCCGGTGGCCGGATGGGGCTAACAGGTCAGGGCATTGAACTGCCACGGTGAGCTCCTTGGTTCAAATCCAGATTTCAGCAGCCTGTCAAAGTCAAATTCAACTATTTATTTATTTTTATTTTACCAGGCAAGGCCCACTGAACTTTTTATCTTTTTTTCAAAAGCGACCTGGCTCTCACAAATGATAGCTCAATGAAGTGGATTATCAGCACGTGAATATTTCTAGCAGCCAAATACTATAAACGTGATGTGCATTCTAAATATAGAGGGAAAAATCCGGAAGACCCAGAGAAAACTCCACGCAACCACGGTGAGAGAGACACGCAAACTCCAAATATACAGCAGGCGTCAGGGTCGGGATCGAACCCACGACCTCCTGTACACCAGGCGAGGCAGTAAACATCTCGCCATAACGACGACGCGGTCAAATCAATGACCGCACCATTGTTGTACAACATTGGAAGTCAAGTTCCCAAAAGTCAACGCCATTTTAAAAAGGAAGCATCATTGGCGGCGCTCAAGGCCCCCGTTTACAGCTCCGAGCCAGCGGTAGAAACTTCGACATTCCTATGGCGGAGGCGAGTCCATCCATAAGACAAGCGCTGATGACTTGCCAACAAGAACACAAAGGAGTATGCGCAATATGTGGGAACGTGCCCCTTAGATAGACTCATCTAAAGTCGGGGAATGGGACAGTTTTAATAGTGCGGAGTACACAAGAACGTTAATTCCGGGCAATGTGAAGGCGACGGTCAGTGGGTCACTTGAACGCGGTGAAACTCCCTTCTAGTCGATGTCCGGGGAGCCAAGATACGTTGGCTCGTCAGAAGGCGGCCCATCAAATGCCTAGTACTGCACCCGTTCCACCCGAGCGAAACGGAGTTGTTTCCCGCCTCGCAAGCGTGGGTATCCTCCGGGCGTTCCAGTTTTTCTCCCACATGTACACAGTCTTATTGAACGACTGAAAACAAACTCGATATAGAGAGGACCGCAGAACTTGGCCAATTCGCTGGTGCTACAGCTCAGCGCCTGGCTGCTGCTTCTGCCGCTCGTCCGTGGGTTCCTCCTCGCGCCACGCAAGCGAGCCGGAAACTGCGCGGCGGTAGCGGCGCGTTTCAAGTTGACTTAAAAATACATTTACTCCAAAATGACAAGATAAACGCCACGGTGGCGAGATGTTAAAACTCCTGCACCTGGTATGCAGGAGGTCGTAGGTTCGATCCTGACCCTGACGTCCGCTCGCTGTATATTTGGAGTTTGCGTGTCTCTCTCTCTCCCCGTGGTGGTCGTGTGGATTTTTCTCCGGGTCCTCCGGTTTTTCCCTCCATATTTAGAATAAATGTGCGTTTAAAGTAATTGTCTGCTGCTATAAACTTGCACGTGATAAACCATCATTTGTGGCCAGACCGCTTTGAAAAAGAGCCATATAGCTCAGTGGGCTTTACCTGGTAAAATAAAAATAGCTGAGTTTAGTCTATGGTTCTGTACGTATCTCTATGGATCTCTGTGTGTCTCTATGGGCCTCTGTATCTCGATGGATCTCGATGCCGGCCACGGCCTGAGAGTCACCCCCCAGTGGAAGAAAAAGGACGCAGGTGTGACACCGTTACCGGCGTTCGCCTGTTCAGCCGGGGCCTCGGAGGCCTCCTTGTCCTTGGGTTTGGCTCCGCGCGGCAGCTTCTTCTCAGGCGTGCCGGGCGACTTGACGTCTCCCGGCGTGGTCGCTCGCTCCTTCGTCCGCTCGCCCGATCGCCGCGCCTGCCGCGGGTTGCTGGGCGACGGCGGGCGATGGCGAGAGGGCGACTGGGGGGTCGCGTTGCCGGGGGACGTCCTGCGGCGTCGCGCGGGAGACGATTTCGCCGGAGAGGGCAGCCTGCGGAACAAGCGCGACCGTACGTCCCGCCGTTTGGCCGAGTGCCCGCGTGTGTAAGCGACGCTCAAAGCGCCGGCGTTCGCCCGACGCTCGTTTAGCTCCGACGCGCTTTTGTCGCGCGCCGTGCGTGCGCCCTCGCCCTCCGCGGCGGTAGATCACGGGGCACCGCGCCGCCGTACCTGGCCATGCCGCCCGCAGGCGAGGTCGGGGTTTTGTCGTTGGCCTCGGTGGCCGGGGAAGGGGAGCGCTTTGAGTGCGCCGCTTCGCGTCTCATGGCCGGAAGCGTCTCCTGACTCCTAGAGCTCGTCTGCGAAAATACGCGGCAAGAAAGTCGTCATCATCATCAGCGGAATCAGCAGCAGTAGCATGGGCATTGGCATAATTATCATCAGCAGCAGCATGAGCAATGGCATCATCAACAGCACCATTAACATTCGAGTTGTGATTATCGTCGGAATTAAAACAGGTTTAATAAAGGATAAACAACTGGCTGGCTGCAGGGTGACGTCCAGTCAAAAAATGACGCATTGGCTGTTAAGGGGTTAATCTGAAAGCTGGGAGCACATCGCGAGTGTGCGTACGCGGCGTGTGCGTACGCGGGGAGGTACGTGTGTGGTGTGTACGTACGTGGGGGGGGGGTACGTATGTGGTGTGTACGTACGTGGGGGGTTCGTATCTTGTGTGTGCGTACGCGGAGTGTACGCACGTGGTGTGTACGTATGTGGTGTGTGCGTATGAGCCACCTCTAAGTCCTGGCTAGAGCCATTGTCTGAAGAGTCCTTGCTCAGTCTGTCTCCACTCCGGCTCCGCAAGGGGCGGTTCGGAGGAATAACCGGGCCTCCCGAAGACCCAACACGACCTCCGGATGCCAGCCCTAAGCAAGGGAAGACGGACAGATTTATAGATGAACAGAAGATCAGACTATTAAAAAAAAACAAGCGAATAGATAGAAAGCTACTGAGAGAAGCAGACACAAAAACATATACAGATAGATGATTGGACAAAGGGGCAATAGACATGAGACACACTGAGAGATGAATAAACAGACAAGACAGTGGAAAAATTGATAGATGGACAGACATAATAACAGGTGGGCAGAGAGAGAGAGAGAGCAACAGACAAATGGATAGACAGTCGAAAGTCAGACAATCACCATTGGAACCTCCTTTGCCAGTAGCAAAATATAATAAGTTTTTTACCCTTTTATCTGGCAACAAAAATGACACCTTTTTTTAAATGCGCCTTTTGGCGTCATCTGGTCCAACACCATGTGAGACTAGGCTCTAAGAAAATCTGTCTCGCGTATGGACCAATCAATTTCAAGGACAGTGCAGACATTATCAGAGTTGTGTTTTTTGTTTGCATTCCAACCGCAGGTATTTGTGGTCAATGAAATCATGACTCCTTGTAAAAAAGGTGTCAGTTTTGTTGCCATATAAAAGGGTAAAAACAATTATCAAGTCAAACAATGATAGCACAGACGTATGGATGGATGAGACAGACACAAATAGACAGATGGACACATGTGAAGACAGGCGAATGGACAGATAAGCAGACAGATGGGAAAACCAGATCCACAGGCAGATGGACAGGCAGACGGATGGGGTTCATGGAGAGGCAGGTACATTGTACTAGATAGATAGACAAATAGATGGGCAGAGAGAAACTTGGGCAGACAGATGAACAGAAAAAAACAGATGGATGTGAAACCAGATAACATTACAGCGCAACACACAGAAGACAGATTGACATACATACAGACGGACAGAGATACAAATAGACGGAGACCGACAGAAGCACAGATGAACAATTAGACAGACTGGGAGTTAATAAAGAAACGTTAAAAGCACGATAAAAACATGGCCATCACTACAATTGTCAATGGTTCATTGTAAGTGAAAAATGCAATTCGCTTTCAGAGCAAGGGGATGCAGCTTATCAGGACGCGTAAAACTATTCCAAAATATACTGACGCATCACGGGACCGCTTGATAAATAAAGCCTCCAGCCTAAGGCGAGATGCAAATAAAGTCGGGCCGGCAAGTTAGAAAAGTAAAATCCCTTCCCCCTGCCTGTTCTGATGAGTTCGGTGTGCCTGATACCGTCGATGCAACTGGTAGTGCCGTCCAAAATGTCAGGATGTTGCAATGTTATGATGTGGGGGAGGACGTGAAATGAAAAATATTTTATATATTTAAAAAAATATCGCCAAAGTGGTTGCTGAGGGCCGACTTTCGTATCGCAAAGACAAAGCGAACTAATAAATTTAAATACACGAACGACGCTCGGCTAAATGTGACCGTGGAATTGCGATAGTGGCAACTTCATCATAAATTTCACAGCCCCCTTCTGTCGATCGACTCCACTGCTGGATGAAGGCATCCCCACATGCTTTGTCGGTCATGGAGGTTGTTTTACCGTACACCGGTTCGAACATCGCTTTGTCACTGGTGTTAGCCGTTGCCAGGAATCCAACTCTGGTCGCCGGGTTCGTAGCGCAGTGTGAGAACCGCAGCAACACTGTTTCGTAACAAACCGTCATCCTATATTTGTGGCAAAAAGGTCTCTACCCAGGGCCTCAGTGTCCCTCACACGGCCATTATTATCAATAAAAGGTTTATTGGGTTAGATCGCGTAAATATATAAACGTGTCGTTAAACCCGCCACCACCACCACCACAACACAGCCAATTAGTAAGGTTTGTCACGAAAACAAAACATGCCAATTCGCTACAAGTACAGAACACACTGGTTGTGTGTTGGAGAGTAAACTCACGACTACATTTACAATCCGAGTGCCGTGACGTTTCACCGGTAATTACAACAACCAGCATCATCAGACGACGGCCAGCGTTGAAGAGAAATTCTCCTCCTGTTTCGGTTTTAAATCGACGGGGGATGAATGTGAAGTCGTTAGAAGACCAGAGGGCGATGGGGAGGGTTAATGTATTCATATTGATTACAATGGATATCTATCATTGGGTTTAACGACACATTTATATTTACGCGTTTTTAACCTCCAAAAAACCCTCTATTATGGATAATATTGGTCGCGTAAGCCTGCTACTATGTGTTAAACGGCTGCTATTACAAATCGGAATAATGGAGACACCGAGCCTCGGAAGTCAAGAAACCCAAACACAGATGTTCCGTCTTACTGTCCTTTACATAGCCATTAGGAAACCCACTGAAAACAAAAACACTCAGACCCAGTGTTCAATCCAAGGATCTTTTTTTCTCTCTGGCTCAGTGTCTTTGAACATAGGCATTGTGAAGCCACTGGGGAAATAGAGCACCCACTCAGACTCAGGGCTCAAACCCATAATCTCAAATGTGCTGGCTCAGTGGATATGATGTGGCCATTATGGTACCGCCTGAGATAGACAATTGGCGGGTGTTGTGGGCTGGGCCACGAGTTGAACCGTTCTGCTCTCACGCTTTCGCCACACGCACTACCGCGTGCATCTTCCAGATGTCCGCAGAGTACGACATCTTCGTGGAGTTGAGTGACGTCCGCAGTAGTTTCATGGGCAAAGCTTGAGAGAGAAAAAAAAACTCACAACACGTGGCCTAACCTGGAAGGCCACTCTTGGGACTGCGAGTGGCTGGCGAAATCCCGTTCGTGAACACAGACACCCGGCCACTTTCAAGTCAACGGGATCTTTCAGTGTTACTTTCTTGCCACGCTGAATATCTCCATAGCTTTACCGGTCAGGGAGAGGACAGCACAGCTCCGGCTGCGTGCTAAAGATGAACGCGTTGGGGCCATCAACCGACTAACAACATTAAGGTCGGAAGGCTGGCGTTCAAACGAAGATGGTGCTAAACCCACGCACGTACACACGCACACACACACACACCATACGCGCACGCGCACAAAAGAAAACAAAACAAGCATGAGATGGAACAAGATGGATTGTCATTTGGCTGCGTGCACAATTACGAAGAGCAAGAGAGTTTTGCTCGAAACGAAAACACAATCGGTGCGAGCGTTTGAAAAGTCGGTGGGCCCCACACGAGAGTGGCGTGACAACACAGGGCGAAAGCTAATCGCGAGCACGTGGCATTTAAGCGGGATTGCCGGATGTCACAGAATGAGATCGACAGCATCATCGCCGTCGTCATCATCATCATCAGCCATGAGCAATCAGATACTGTGATGAAGGGATCCCCCCCGAAGCGGCCGCCAAAGATGAATTGGACATACGGTAGAATTATATTTTTTGTTACAGGCCATTAAAATGGTCTCGCTCTGCGTGCTAAAAGGTACAAATTATAGAATTTGAAAAAGTTTCTAATGGGAGATAGTCAGACCCGGCTCCTGGTGTGCGCCTCCCAAATGTCTCCGCAGAAAGAGGATCGCTTGCCGAGAGGGAAGGCGATTTTCTCATGATGATGAAACGACACGTGCGATGAATACGACGCCAATGATTACTTTAATGACCCGAGAGATGATAATTGTTTTTTTACCCTTTTATCTGGCAACAAAACTGACACCTTTTTTCAAGGAGTCATGTTTGCATTGACCACAATACCTGCGGTCGTAATGCAAACAAAAAACACACAACTCTGAAAATGTATGCACTGTCCTTGAAATTGATTGGTCCACACCCGAGACAGCTTTTCACTTTTGGCGTCATCTGGTCCAATAGCATGTGAGACTAGGCTCTAAGAAAAGCTGTCTTGGGTTTGGACCAATCAATTTCAAGGACAGTGCATACATTATCAGAGTTGTGTTTTGTTTTCATTACGACCGCAGGTATTATGGTCAATACAAACATGACTCCTTGTAAAAAAGGTGTCAGTTTTGTTGCCAGATAAAAGGGTTAAAAAACCAATTATCATATTTTGCTACCGGCAAAGGAGGTTCCAATGGACCCGAGTGATGATTGTGTTATGAGAGAGTGGCTTGACGAGTAGATTGGAACTGTGATGATGATGATGGACCATGCGGATTGCACTTTGAGGGGACTGTGTAGAGAAATAACGCAGCGTCGCCGAGGCCACTCGCTGTGAGGACACCGACTTCTCAGCCAACATTCGTATTAACAATGACGAGTGCACACAGCCAAACACGAACAAGCATGTAACATGATGTCAAGCAATGCAATGGATTGTAAACAACTTTGGAGCGCAAAAATTATGTTTAACAAAAACAAACGGAAAATGGAGAATGAAAAGCGTAGTTGCGGAAAATAAACGCAGACATAAAAGCAATGCAATGCACGCGCAATTAAGTGTATTTTTGCCACATTACATGTGCATTCGGAAATCATTTCGAGCCCTAATGCCATACGATTCATCTACATCTGTGAATCAGCTCAAGCCACGTGACTTCTGTGCGTGGCCACCACAACTTCGAACCCATTGCCTCTGCCCCGCCGCCCGCTGTGAACAGAGACGGCCGCTCCGTGCGGCTCACTTCTGCTACTGGCTCCGGCCTTCTCCCTACCTCCCCCTCTCACCGTCACCATCTCATCCCCGACATCTATGGGGTGCCGCGGTGGCGGGATGGTTACTCCCTCGCCTGGAATGCAGGAGGGAGGGCGTGGGTTCGATCCCGACCCCGACTCCGACGCCTGTTGCATATTTGGAGTTTGCACCTCTCTCTCCACGTGGTCGCGCAGTTTTTTCTCCGGGTCCTCCGGTTTTTCCATCCACATTTAGAATCAACATCACCACGCGTTTAGAGTATTTGGCTACTGCTATTAATTTCCACACGATGATGAGCCACTTTGTTGAGCTACCATTGGTGACATCCGGGTCGCTACTGAAAAAAAGCTACATAGCTCAGTGGGGCCTTACCTGGTAAAATAAAAATAGATTAGTTTAGTTTTAGTTTAGATCTTGGCCCAGTCATTCATTCTCACCCTCTCCCCTGCTTGCCCAACGCTCCTTCTTTCTTTCTTTATGCTCACCTTGAGACCGTCACCGACTTACCTTCCTGCGGTGTGCCACGGGTGAAAGTTTTCGCGACAATAACGCGACGTGCTGTACGTCTCTCCGACGCGTTTGTAGATTTGCGCTGCTTACTGTTCTAAAATCCGGTTCCTGCAGAAGCTCCCGGGGGCTCGCGGAGCGTAAACTTTCCGTTGCCATACAAAACAACGCGCGGGCACAACCCGAAAACACGTTGGAAATAATATCGATGATGATGATAATGCCATTCACCCAGGAAAGACTCAGTGTCCTAAGACCTTTAGAGGCAGGGTTGCGTAATTGGGGCGTTTAGCCAATTCCATTCATGAGAGTTTGGCTTCATGTGGGAGGAAACCGGAGAACCTGGAGAAACCCCAAGCATTCGAGAGGGTAACAATCAACATCTCCATACAGATAGATTTAAGAATCCATTTCTGTATTGCCACTACCTCAGCCTGAGTCTACAACGCCTGGCACTCCCGGGCAGTCTCCTATCCAAGTGAGCATCTGAGATCTGACAGGATCAGGCACATGCAGGGCGAGTTGGCCTCCAGCTGGGATGATTAGTCGATTAACTAACTTTATTGTGGCCGATACCTTGGGTCTCAAAACAAATTTATGATAATCCGGACACCCTTCTACCTGAAGGCGGGAAACGCCCCCTGACAAGCCACAACCAGCCTGACAACACGGCCTGATGGTACTCATGACATCGTCAAGTACCGCCAATCACCTCCTGTCCAGCGGCACACGCGGGGACAAGATGACAAACATAAGCTCAACTCTTTGCTCCATGACTATCTCTTTGTTATCTGATTAGTCGAGCGAAGCCACATGATAATGGGCAGAGCAATTGATTACCTAAATAATCGGATTAAATAATCCCAGCCCTGGGTTGGTCAAATCACCTCTGTCAGGTGACCCACAGATGCCTGCGGAAGAGGCTGAGAATCTTCTGTTGATGAAAGAATCCCCGGGCTTAGGTTGGCTCATGTTTGAGGCCAGGGATCTCCCTCCTGCAAGACAACGAGAATACAACTTGGACTGACCGAGCGACTCTAAAACCAGCGTCCCGACGCCTGGGGTCGACACATCCCAAACGCATCTTTCGTAGGTTGAAGGCGCAGGCTCCATTGCGATTCTATTCCCCCGACGTCGCAGTAAAAACAATGGGGCAAGTTTTTTGTTTATATCCCGGCGTCTGTGCACCCAGCATCAGCGTAAAGCTGCATCAGCGTAAAGCGGTGCTGCCACAGTTAGTCCATCGGCAGGCCACGGGCGGCGGAGTCAAGTCTGGGGACTCCTCCTTCCGAGACGCGGCGTGGAAGAGTAGACCAAACACCTTCTAGAGGGGCTCTTTAGATCTCCCGGGCACCTTCCTCCAGCAGTGGCGTGAGCTAATGAAGGGTTTCCCCCTTCATCTATGCGATGTGCATATATATAATTCTTTAATGGGGCTGAGATCATTCAATGGATGAGCACAATAACAATAATGACGTCAAGTCAAAGTCAAGTATCCCCCCCCCCCCCCCCCCCGTTCAAACTGGCGAGCACGGTGCGGCACCCATCGCAGTTTGCAAACTGTAACCCAGCGGCGGCGGAAACTCCATATTCAACCGAGGTGGTGGCCAATCTCTCAATCGGACAACCACTACCGTATAATAAACAATATAAGTTAACTCCGCAGATTATCAATCTGCCAGCAGATGAGGGCCTCTCTCACAGGATGCCATGTCAGCCACAGGGGGCTGTGTGACCGTACTGCGCCACGCCGGGGCAGTGCGGGTTGCTGGAGGGGAGCGAGCAGGCAAAGACTGGTCCCGATATTACGAGCCATTGATGTCAGTTGTGGCCAGGAATCAATACTCATCAATAGTCGGGTCGCCGGGTTCGCAGCGGGTTAACTACTGCACCAGCGCAAAACAATTTGCGAATGTCCTTACCTTTTCTGTTCTGCGGCGCCGCAGAATTTAGACGCAAACACTGGACCCTAAGATCCATTACGATTCCCCTCCGAAGCAAACTTTACGGAGCACGAAAATAAATGAAACGCAAAAAACTTGGGTGCTTTGGAGTTGAACCGCTGGTGAGTATAGCACGACTGGCCCCGACTGCGGAAGAAACTGTGGCAACAACAAAAAAACTACTACCGTTCCTCAAACTCCGTGAGCCGCGCCTATTTCGGAATTAGCCACAAAAATGTGACCCAAACTGTGAATTCACAAGTACACAACAGCCTGGTGGCGGTGGCGACACGTTTAGCGAGCACTAGGGGGGGGGGCGTCGACGATTGCGTATTCCATCACAAACAAGAAGAGACTTGGCCAAGCAAGGGTAAACCTCGCATACCCGCGGAAACACGTGTGCTGTCGTGATGCGTCGGCCACAAGGCTGGTACCGAGACAATTTAATACACGAGAACGCTGCTACCTAGCTTTGGTATTCATCAGGGCTGGCCACGAGATGGCGATACTACGACACGTGATGAAAGTAACACTGCAAGATGCCTCTGCAGTAGGAAATGCCGGCTGGAGATGAGAAAAGATGATAACAGTTTGCTCTACGCATTTTCGTACACGGGCCAAACACAGGATTACATGTCCTTCCGGTGAGTGGTGCGAAATTTCGGACGTCACGCCGGACGACTCGCGGCACAACCCGAAAACGCGTCGGGGGAGAGAGCCGTACACGCACGTGAGAGATCGTACACATGCGATTCGTACAAACGGTACGTGACCATGCACGGGGGACACGGAGACACGCATCGCACCCGTGAACAGGCGAGTGGCCGCTGTAAGCTCACCTTCTTGCACGGGCGAGTTAGGAGTGGCGACCACGGAGCTGCTCCCTCCCCAGGACCAGCGTTTGCGCCGTGTGTCCAAACTTCCGCGTCTCTCCAATGACCGCTGGATGATCGGCTGCACCTGCCCATCGAATGGGGGGGGGGGGGGGGTAAGAGTGGCAAAAGTAGAGATGACCCAGGTGGCTCAGGAGGTAAATGCCGTGTCAGCGACACCGAGCCGCCACCACTGAGACCCTGTGATTGAACCGGGTTCCTGAATGCGAGCGAGTCTTTGCTCTCAGCCTGGACACCAACGACTGCACAAAACAAAAAACAATATATTACACTTCATTTTAGCACCGAGTCGGCACGGCTGAGATAGCAGAGTCTGAATGTGAGTTCCAGTTGCCCGTTATTAAACCATCTTGCCAAGTGGAGCGAGTTGATGTACGTTTGTTGAACTTCGTTCGCACTGTACGTAGCCAAACCTTGATATTCGGAGGATTGATAGTCTCATCTTTGTCACCAATGACTGTACAAATATCCCCAATCAGGTTCATTTTGGAAATCTGGTGCTCACTTAATTTAGCTGCAATAGATTTATTTTGCCTGTCGTATGACAGGACACTCTTTACGGGGGATATGAACGGTGCACCCCCCTTGTGTGGAGGTCACGTTCCTTCAGACATTATTACATTGACACGTTTCACTTCATTGGGCAAAATATCCAGCTCTCAGATCTAAGAATTGTCATTATATTTGACTTTCGAAATGACAAACACCCTCTCAAGTGGATGAGGTGCATGAAAAACTCCAGTTCGCCTAGCACTGAGAGTTCACGCAGAAGCAGTTCTGAGATGTGGGTATGCGTGGATATGGGAGCGGCCACACGTCCGGAGCCTATGAGCGAGCCACGTACCAAAATCTCCGTGTGGCAGAGAGCCACAAGTCACACGGAGATAATGCCACCTTCCACGCTCAGGCTGCTTTGGCTGTGGAGTTTAGAAGTGTGTGGAAGGACCCCACCCCACCCCCCAAGCAACACTCGCGTCTGGCTCCAACGCCAGAAGGAAGGCGAGTGGCCCGGGCCCACTCCCGCTTTGTAATAAAGTTGCGTTGAAAGGTGCGCGCAAAGAAGCACGGGGGAGATGACGCACGCTTGGAACTGCGCTGAGAAGCAGAATGAGGGAGCATGTGGGAATTAAGGACGCGCGCAGGAGAACGACGGCACTCAAACCGAGAGGAAGAGCAAGTTGGCTTGGGAGGGACGCGCGGCGAGCAGAGACGGCGGATGATGGTTTAGAATGACAACGGAGTGGCAGCCGAGGGGCGGAGTGCGCGTGAGTACGGACGTACGTCGACCGATGAGATGGAGTGACAATATCGGCTCAAGTGCAGGATCGGGAGAGGTGGCAGTGGCCTGAGCAGGCCTTCATCCAGCAGTGGATTGACAAAGGGCTGTACATTATTCAATTCTTGCATGGTTGTATATTATGTACACTGTGACCCAAGTGGCATGGGGAGGCTGCCATCCATGTTTTAAATGTGTATAATCCAGTATAGACTAAAGTATAAATTAATAAATGGGTGAACGTTTGTGTGAATACATTAATTCATGATTTAAGTGAATAAAACGAGGAGGGTATGAATGAGTGATGAGACGAGAAATAAATTAATTCATGAATGGGTGGGACCCCAAAAGAACCCCATTGTCCACATGTTTTTTTACAAACGCAAGCATGCGGAATTTAAAGACGATCTTTGTTCGCTATGATTTGTAGGGTGACCGCGTAAAGCTCTGCACACTGGGCGCTGTGTTACCCAACACCACCCAGGGACTTCGCTGCCGGGCCAAGACTCTGCACACAGGGCTTCCCCCCCTCCAATGAGAAGCTATTGTCAACAAAAGCACTCAAAAGTCAAAGTAGAACACAACAACAATAATCATGTTTATTTACCCACAGTCAGCACAGGTGGCTCAGCAGTGAAGCAAGTTCAAATCCTGGTTGTGGAGGGGGGGGGTTGATTCAGCCCATCATCCGTCTGGGGTCGATGACAATAGGTACCACTTTGTGGGCAAGTCAACGGTGGTTGTCGTACGGACAAACTCGCTCCTGCCATAGGAATGTGGAATTTCCACGACTGGCTAAGGGCTGTAAACATGCAATGAGCGCCGACGCCTCGATGCTCGTTTGAATGGGAAATCAATCGGCACCATTGACCGATGTAGCCAAGAAACATGAAACTTTGCAAATTCCTCTTAAAAGAGGAAACCCACCATGCATGAGAGGGGCTAACACCCAAAAACTTCGCGCAGATGAGTTCACAGGCCCACTTGCTGTACTGCCATCACATGGCCACAACGCAGCCTTGCAGTTTTTGGAGTTTCAATCCCCCAGTGGGTCCACCAACCCTTGCCGACAGAGAGCCGGATCAGTTTTGCGATGCAGCGGATTTGTAAATAATTGCGGATAACAAAACAAGGTCCAACGGTAGCAATAAACGGGACTGCTGTAAGATTAAAGGTGACGATGTAAAAGAAAAAACTACACGAACATGAAAGCAACACAATGTAAACACAATTAATGATACGATCCGAGTGCTTTTTGCAATTTTTTAAAAATAATTACCCCACCAAGGCCGACCACCAGGCGATTCACAATAATAATGTCAACAGGCCGGGGCCGCACCTCGAGCCACCAGTACAAACCACCACGCTCAACTCGGTCCACGCCTGCAAGGCGCTTTTTGCACCACATCTCGAGCGAGTAGTTTGCACAAAACACGGTCGCGCCGACCGATCAGCGTGCCACAAGTCGATCGCGCCGAATGGTGGAAGCCATCCAATGCCTTGAATTTGTCTGCGGGTTTTTTTGTTCAAGGAGGTAAAACAGCAGCCCTGCAGCAATTGCTCACTCAAGTGGTATTTGGGGCCTGCTCTTCCCAGCCGGCCAGATGTCTTCGAAGGTAGACGCGTGCACCCACGCCTCACCCCACCACACGCGACCTGCCCATCGACGAGCCCTGGGGGTGGGGGTGGTGGAATTTAAGAAACTCGACAATTGTTGAAGATGCCGTGCCGGGAGAACGAATCCACGTCCGGTTTGCAAGTCCGGCGTGCCGACCACTATGCCACGGGCAGCACTAGGTTCAGGTCACAAACCATCGCCCGCTTCCCGGCTATGAATCGAGCGTTTCATCTCATCGCCCAACAAATATACACGGCACGTTGCACAAGTCTCATTTTGTCCCTCCGAGCGGACGGTAAATGCATGGTGTAATTGTGTGTGTGTGCAAGCCGCGTCCACAACCCTGGCACACCCCACCCCCGTGCATCCTGGGTCAAACACCCACTACGTTTGTGCCAAGACGCGGGGGACGTTATTTAGCTGGTGTACGTTTCGAGACGTCGTTAGCCACGGCATTAACCGTGTGCGCGCGGGCTCACGTACAAAGGCGCGCGTGGCACCACGTAAAAGGCCTTTTGTCAATCTGACACTGGATAAGAGCGTGCCCCCCCCACCAAGCCATGTGGGTCGTGGGGGTTGTTTGACTATACTTCACCGTGCTGGTCAATGCGAGTTGTTGTCATCCTATATCCAACCCCCTTTAAATTAAGACCACAGCAAAACGAGCGCTCACAAGGTTATTTGGGGCACAGCTGGTGCTAGGCTTGTCCACGTTACCATGTCCGAGGATGAGAGTGGGACCGACACTCCAAAACGTAACAGAAAGGTGGCTCACGCAACACCTCCGCTACTTTCGATCTATAGTGACAGATTGTCAATAGTCGGGCGTGGATATGTGGGAGTAAATGAGTACAGTACAACAATAATGTTACTGCTGTTCCTCCTCACAGCTCCACAAAGCTATTACAGCTGTCTTGGATGGCGGTTGCCCCTCCGTTCACTGTTCAGGCTCAACTCTACTTAGCTTCTGAGATCTGAAGAGATCGGATGCATTCTGGGAGATTTGTTCATAGGCTCATTTCTGAAACATTTCTAAACGTTGGGACACATTTTGTCCTGTCTATATGTAGATACATTGTCTGAGAAATAATGTAATAGTTATTTAATTCAAATGCCATTGTCAATCCACTGCTGGATGAAGGGCACCTCATTCCATGCCGGGAAAAATTGTCTAAACATTTATTTCGTTCCGTCACGGTGGATTTTTGCATAAGGCCGAGTTGAGTAAACATGGGGTCCGTTTCGCCACGTCGAAACAACGTTCAGGTCCGTCGGCCAAACGCTGCCGGCAACCAGTCGATCGAATGTGTTCGAGGCCACGCCCTGCTAACGACGGGATCAGATTGCCGAGACGGGGTGCTGCGGCTGGAGGGGTCCAGCCTTCCGCTTCACCAATTGTTGCTGGGAAACGCTGGCTCTGGAAAGGTCCACCGGGAATTTTTTTTATTTTTAAAGTGGTGGAATTGACTCTGGTACAGTGGTTGCAACGGTCAGCTCGGCACTTGACTTGCAAACCCAGAAATCACCGGGTTCAAATCGATCTCCCGGCTCTGTATTTGAGCGGCGACGGGGAATATTCCATCTACACCACCCGCCCCGCCGCCTCTGTCGACCGAGCAGGATGAATGGTTGGGGTAAAGTGTGGGGTACTCCCACCGCTAGCCAAGTCATCAGACCAAGCGTGGCAGAGTTGGCCAAATTCCCGCCCCCCCCCCCCCCCCGCGGCGCCTTCTTTGAGGTTACTCCGGTGCACGCCCTTCCGCCGGCAGTGGCATGAGCAGGCAGTTGCAGGGCTGCCCCTTCTCTACCTCTGTTCTCCCCTTCAAAGTGTGCGAACAGACCGTCGTTTGTTGACGATTTTATCCATCGGCAGTAATGCACTGCAAAGGCTCGTCATTTTAACAAAGCTTTCAGGATAAATTATTCATCGTCGGCGAAATATGTGCGCCGGTGTGATTGTATCAGTCTAAATCGCGTATGTACAGTAAGTCCCAAATAACACACACATTCATCACATACGCACCCAGCGAAGGCATTGTTCATATTTTAAAACATATACGCATTCGCGTTTGTTACGTTTTAACCACCAAAAACACACACGTCATAACGGTGCAGCAGATGTGTGTATGGGCGGTATTCTAACCTATGGCCAAATCGCCCAGAATGCCCCTGA